GGGGGGGGGGGGGATTTGACGCGCATTGTACCATACCGTAAGCAGCAAGAGTCATGTCGGAATAATAAACATGAATTTAACGGTTACCAGAACGCCCCATCCCTTCGCTTTTAGACAGCAGATACCTTGAGCGACAAGCAAGAATATAGTTTCTACTGCTGCGGGCTCTCACCTGTATCGTCCAACACATGCTGGCCGCCCAGCAACCCCGCGTACGCCACGACCATGACCATGTTCGTCAGTATCTGCTGGCAGCTCTCTGCCGCCACGCCATCTGCCCCGGAGGAACTATTGGCTTCCAAGTTCCGGCTTATGAGAGTCACGGTGTCGAGCCACAGCTTGCCGAACCCCGGCAGGCTCGTGAGCGCCTGGAGGTGGTGAAGGAAGGCTCGAGAGAGGATCGAGCAGCAGCGGATGCAAACCTAGCGGACGGTTGCGGCGGACGGACGCGTGGGACATCGAACGAGCAGAGTCAGCCAACGCCGTCGTCGAAGCGAGTCAAGCGTCAAGCGAGAGACAAGCGTCGGGGTCGAAAATATGTAAGGGCGATGGAAGGGATGCGAATTAGTGGGTGGAAGCACTGGGGATGGAATAAAAAGAAAGTGGGATCTACGGCTCGAGACGAGTTTTTGGAATATTTACTTCACCACCCGGCTTGAATGAATGTTTGAAGCAGCCAACAACGCAGACAAAGTTGATGCAGATTTATTTTGTGGCCAACGTGCTTACGGTGGCGGCCGGGATAACTTCAAGGTAGCGGCGGCAGTACCGCAGTGTCTCGCTACATCAACAAGCACACCACAGCAACAGTCAGTCCTACAGCAGTGCACCATGGGGTACCCAACAACACTTGATCCTTCCGGTCATGCAGCCAGTACCTCCTCGCTCCAAGTGCCCTGGACCACGATTCCCGCCGCCGGCCTGAAGTGCGGCGGCAGCAAGGGCACCGGGAGTTGCAGCAACACCTCGCTGAAGGCGGTGCCCCACGCGGGCGCACCGACTCCGTGTAACTGGAGAGGCGGACGAGGAGGTCCGTATGCACAGGGAGGAGGGAGGTCGGACCAAGCGGCGGGATCCGAAGCACGATATCACATATTAGCCATGGTGCAGGGAGAGCATCAGGCGTGTAAGCGTTTTGCCCGCCGTATGTCACAGCAAAAGGGAAAGGTGGCCCCGACCACGAAAACAATCCCAATTTCCCCACGTCGTCGGGAAAGCTTAGAATCTGGGCACTCCGGTATTCAAGCAATCCCATCGTGCGTGGGTCTAGCATCTCGAACGCACCGCTCGTGCACTTACACGAAAATACCGTTGGAGGTAGACCGACAGAATGGACAAGAAACGACGCAAGCAGTAGCGGCAGCAGCAGCGGCAGCAGCAGCAGCAGCAGCAGCAGCAGCAGCAGCAGCAGCAGCAGCAGCAGCAGCAGCAGCAGCAGCAGCAGCTCACCTCGAGCACCAGGCGCTCCAAAGCATCGGCTGCCCCCTTGGCTACCTTCGGAAAATGGCTCCCGGCCAAGGCC